TCCTTCGAATTTTTTTTGTTCCTGTTTTAAAATTAAAGACATCTTATTTTTTTTAATGCGGTTATTTTATACTGTATTATTATAGTGAATCTTGTGTGTGGTTGGGTAATTTATATGGAGTCTGTTATAATACATTTTTAGCAGTTTGGAGGAGTCTGTTATAATACATTTTATAAGTTTGGGGGAGTCTGTTATAATACATTTTAACAGTTTGGGGAGTCTGTTATAATACATTTTTAGCAGTTTGGGGAGTCTATTATAATACATTTTAACAGTTGTGTCTTTCGGATATGACGCATTGAAAAAGCTGCGCATGCGCAGAAGTGAAATGCGTCATATCCGAAAAGACATATACCTGCCATCTCAAAACCGGATCAAACTGGATGCGCAATATCTGAAAAGACATATACTACTATTGACGTCGTATACTCAATTGTTTATTTATTTAAAACGCGATACATTTTATGTGGGAAATTCATAGAAGCCGATTTCGCTGCCTGAAAATAAAAAAATTCAAATTAAGCAAATATATTTTATACATACATCACTTCATCAGGATTCGCTCGCTTCATTGAAAACTACAAATACCGGAATAAAGAATAATTCCTTGATTTGGTAATCTGATTATCCGACGGAAAGTTTGGCAAAACTTTAATGATCGGCTATTTTGGTATTAGCGGGATCCGACATTTGACAGAGACCCTTAACGAAGTGAAAAGTTCACATTAATTTCTAACAATTGTTCGAGAATTTAGTATGGTGTAGAATATCTGCTACCTGAAGGGTTAGAGGCTGATTCATTTCAAAGGCTCGCGAAGGGTAAGTTATTTAAGCAATTTGTTATATTTTCATTAGTGTGTACTGTGTAATATCAGACAAAAACACTTTGGTGAAAATTTTTCGTGTTTGATGACTTTGTTCTTTTAATAGTTTAAAAAAAAGTTGTCAGAACACTTAAGTTATTATAATCTATAGATGATACTCAAACTTACCAAGAACTGGACACAATACCTAATACAAACTCACCACAAACTAACTACATGGTACACTATAACAATACAGAAGCGAATCATAGGAGAAGAGATGAATATGTTACACCATATTATGCTAATCTGAGGTCACAAACTAGAGGTAAGCATAACTCTTCTGATCGTATAACACTATTATAAGTGAAGTGAATTATAACATCATGATTTTAGCGACGTGCGAAAAAAGAGGTTTTAAGTAGAAATGTTTTACCTTAAATTGTACAGACCACATTCGGTATGAAGTACAGTAGTATTGTTCATTAAGTTTTGAAGTAGTTTAATCAATAAGCGAACTGATTACAATTCCAATTTTTTATTTCTGTATTTTACAGTTTACTCCGGGATTTCAAATAACAAATAATTACTTCAAGAATAGATACATTTAGTATTTTAAAATAAATAATATAATATTTAGTATTATATGATAAATTATATTACAACTGGATAACAGATAATTACTTCAAGATATATTTAGTATTTTACTATAAATTATATTGCAACTGGGTAAGAGATAATTACTTCAAGATATATTTATTATCTTATAATGAATAATATTACAACTTGGTAACAGATAATTACTTCACGAAACATGATAAAATAGCATTTGCATGTAGTAGTTTAAAATAAATAACCGCATAAGCTAAAATGGTTTATAGTATATGTTATAGTGTATGTTGTACATTGTTTATTGAATATTCTTATTTTATTTTATGTTATTTGTTATATACAAAAAAGGTAAAATAATATATTAGTTATACTAATAATAAAAATATAATTTTGCTCTTTAGAGGTTGGTTAGTAGATTCTAGAGAAGATTACCTTTGCTAACTGGATTTCTAATAAAGATGTTTAATTAATTTTTTTTGTAATTATTTTATATATGTTATTTATTGTAATAAAACATCCTATAAGTTTTGTAAGACTAACCAAGGTATTTGTGTTTGATATTGCTGGGAGATGTAAAAATGTTCTCCAGTATATAGAGGAGAAAACAAGATTCACAATATTTCACCAACATTCTGCAAACATCTGACTTGTCATGTGATGCCAACTTGAGGTCATGTGATCGACAAATTGGAAGACATGTAGATTTGAAACACTCATTACAGGTTTCGAAATTTATAAAGATTAAAGGGGGAATATTTTATGCAAAAACACTATTTCTCTATGTCATCTATTTTGCTGTCCATTTCCCGCTCATTTTGTCCAACTAATTTAAAAAATGTAGCTTGAATATTGCTAAATGGGGACTATAGAATATGTTGAGAAAATTTGGACAAATTAATGTTGGAGAAATGTTCTATTAATGATTCTCCAACATACTCTGGGAGGTGTAAACAGAGTAGTTGCATGTTGGTAAAATGTTGAAGAATTTTTGGAAAAAGAATTGCCAATGTATTTTGTAGGAACTGGTTGACAGATATTAGATTGACTCAAAATGTTGGTCTGTGTATACAAAGGAAAAAATGGTTTACAACATTTCACCAACACCAGACTGATCGTGTGATGCAACTTGAGGTCACATGTTTGACAAAACGACATCTATGGAGAAGGAGGAGTATGAAAACACTTGATTCATTCATTAGTGCTTGGGAAACTTGCCCCTGTCTCTGGTAGATATCTTGTGAAATATACAATGAGAAGGGGAATATCATTCACTTTGCTTACAAAAGTGTCAATTTCCTGCCAATTTTCTGCTACCAAATTTTTAACAAGTAGTTCAAATGTTGTTGAATTGTTGTTCAATTGTAGACAAAGCATGTTGTGAAAATGTTGGTAAAAGTTGGACAAATGTTCATAGTATCAACAAACCTAAAGACCAGGTTGTCTAGCATCTCTAAACCTTGCCCGTTCTAATTGTTAGTCTGATTTTACAATATGAATCAGAATAGTTGGGTATTTTTTGAGAATGTTCATGGAATTGTCTTCAATAACCATTTGTTAAATTAAACATTCAACCATTTAACCCCATCAAATTACTGTTTAACAAATTAATATTGGTCTGTATTATTATTGGTTGTATCATTGGAAACTTGTGTGTTGTGGTTGTAAATATTTTGATGAGGATCACAATGGTTCAGCGCATAAAGCTTATGACAAAATGTTCATTATGTAAATGGATGTGTCCTAATCGCACTTCAACTGTAACGTCTCGCGTACCGATTCAGTGTAAGTTCTTTATCATAGCCCACATTGACTATCGTGTCACCTTGACCTTGTAGTAGTTAGTGCACTATAAATGATCTTATATAAATGAATATATAGAGCAAAAAGCATGTCAAGCTAAGTTGTACAATAAACATTTTATAGTTGTACTGATTAGGTCACAATTTTTTCACATTCTTTATTTACATCACACTTTAAAGATGGGTTCCCTTATTTTCATTTATTCAAATAATTCTATCAGACTACTTATTATACTTACTATTATTGAAGCGTAGCAACAAACATATTCACGTGCTCGGTAGCAGATTTGAAATGAATTTTGTATCTTTATTACGTGTGCACTTTGTGTTACCTGAGAACCTTTTTATCTTGATTTTAATAAAATGTTTTTATCCTTTCTTTCAAACCGTATAGTGTTATACTTTCATCACATAATGAAAACCGAGTAATATCCTGTTCCCAGTCGCTTACTCCATAACAGGACAAAGCCAACCTGTTTGACATTCGTTTCAGCATGCTCTTTTTTACGAACAGATTCTTTAGAGAAAGAAAGTATTATTTTCTTTTAAAACCATAAATCACGTATTTTATTAAACCATTACGTACCATAAAGGACAGCATAAAATGTGCATTCAATATAAAATGATAAAATTTGAAAGAAAAAAAACAATACTGAAATACAAAACAAATTATTGTAAATATTCAAATTGAAAATAACAGGATCATGATAGCTTCAAATAAGACACATGATAACATATTGTAATAAAATAATTATAATGTTACATGTATAATATAACGATAATAACTAAAAGCCATCGAGATCAAAAGACACAAGCCTGAACTAGACAGAGATACAGGATATTATTTACCCAATGTGTGGAATGAACTCTTTGATTAGCTTAATTAACCATGGCCTCCATCACCCTTGATCTTAAACACCTTCTTAATCCTGTGGTCCCTTTATACTGTTAATTGTTTCTCATTTATTTACTATATATTTTGTTAGTCTTGTCATATTATTCACTTCTCTTGATAACGCTGTCTGTATGAGCATGTGAAACGTTGAGTTTATAATGTCAGAAATAGTATATATCCATATATCTTATGCTTCTTTAACCAAAAATAATTAAACATAAAATAAAAAGCTACGAAATACTTTTAGTGATGATTATAATATTATGAGAGACTATACATCAAAGCAAAAACAGTGTCATCAATGTTATTTCCGTAAAATTAAAATGTAACTAGGAATATTGATAGTTCTGGCAAATCAAGTATGGATTGGCTGGTCTTATAATTAACTTTATGTTTTATAAAGGATCCCAGTGACATATTTTGTCCGTTAAAGATTTACTCATCCTAAACATTAGATGATTTGATGAGATACAACCATATATTTTAATGTTCACTGTCATTTAGGTACATTTTTTTAAGTATAAGCCCATTAGTCACAATATACACTAGTGGGAATTTGAAAAAGGGGACCTCTATAAAGTGTGAGGGGCATTTTGGAGCAAAAGTCGGGAATCTATCTGTTATATGCTAAATCGGAAAAAGTCGGTTCCCAAGTTCTATTTCGCTCCTTGACCTCCTAATTTGCGTATCAAAATGGCGGCCATAACACCTATCCACTATCCTTTAAAATATCCCCGTGTCAAAGAAAGCTAAAAAGGCTGAAAAACTGTCTTAATATACTTTATTAGCATCATAAAATGACACAGAAGCATTTATTAAGTAATAAGGTCATATAAATACTTATTAATATGCTAATTAGCAGTTGAAAATGAAGATAATTTGACAAACTAAAGTGCTACACCTATGTTTTTAAGGTCAATGGACATGCTAAGCCTATTTCTAAAGTGATAATATCAACAAAAGTCACTTTTGTGTCTGTAGAGTTGAATATAATTGTGACAATAACAGAAAAAGAAAACAAATGATTTGCTTATAACAGAGCAAACAAGCATTAATTTCCATGCATTGAATTTTCATGCACATGAATAGAATAGTGTTCATTTTCTAGACAGTATTACTTAAGCAAAATATACCCAGCCTATAACACATCAAATATTTTCCTTGGAATTTGCATGTTGCCGGTAACATGAAACTAATATTTTGTCTTATTCTAATTAATTGTTCTTTGGATCCTTTTCTAATCATAGCAAAGAACATCTTCCTTTTTTCCCTGTAACTTAAATATACGGGATAGTTCATCATCAATATTGTTGACAACCACATATTGTTGTGCACCGCGACCCCGATTTGCGACATTGCAAACGTCGAATTCTGTATTTCTTTTGGCAGGAACACAAATCATCTCTTGGCAGATCTGACATGGTAGTGTGTGCTAATCTCGTAACAATAGATTAGTAATGAACAGGCATCAAATAGAATCAGGGTGCATCACTCGATGGGTACATAGGTAAAGTTTTCTACTCTTAAAAGGATACTACCTCTTAGAATGGACTTAAATTTTAAAGTCTCAAATTTGATCAACTAGTGTATATATTAACCAGTTGGATTTATCGGGTGCCAAAAAATAAAATCATATATCTGCCGAACTCGTAACAGGATGTATTGAGTTTGAGTACCAGACTCCATTCAGAGTTGTTTGCAATGCAGTCGTTCATAATTTTGATACTATATAAGTACAAGAACATCAGAGTCTCTAGAAAAGACTACAACTGTGACAATGAGCTGTATACAGTATGTGATACTAATCTACTAATATGTAAAAGCACACTACCAGTGGAAGGATGTAGACTTTGATAGACAATAAAAGCTGGTTTAGTAGAACACGACAGACTTAAGGACTCCAGCCTTTCAGACGAACTAGAGGTAACGATTTGCCTCTTCCAACAATTTTGACAAATTTTAATGTTGGTATCAGTACCTGAAATATAACGCTGACCTTTTATTTTTACGGACTGAGAAACTGTGCACCCAATATCCCGGTGACAACATGTATTGTGTCGAAGCAGGTTTAACAGAAGAACTTGAAGCTGTTCATTTAAAACATCCACTGATATTACTCCCTTAAAGGCATAAAGTGAAGACAAAGCCCCTACACGGCTAATATTTTCACACAGTCCGAAGTAATGGCGGTGAAGCATTCTCACTAATGTGTACAAAGTTTAACCAAGAATAGATTGGCAATGAACAGACATCAAATAGAATCAGGGTGCATTACTCGATGGGTACATATGTGAGGTTTCCTACTCATAACAGGATACTACCTCTTTTTAAAGTTTCATACTTGGTCAATAAGTGTATATACAGCATTAACAGCATCAGGTGAAGACAAACAGGTTTTGACTCACAAAACAAATTAGATCCTATTTTTACAGGATAGCTCATCATCTATGTTGTGTTGACACACACAAATTGTTGTGCACTGCAACCCCGATTCGCTACATTAAAAACGGAAAATTCTGAATACCCTCTGGCATGAGCACGAAATAATCTCTTGACAACTCTCAGGTATTGGTAAATCTAAAGTGGTAGTGTCTGCTAGTCTCCTAACAATATTTTGGTAATGAACAAGCATCAAATGGAATCAGACTGCTTCACTCATTGAGCACTCAGTTTCCGGTCGCCCAGTTTTGCACAATATTATAATTATGTCGTGCAGCATCAACAGAATCTAAACATCATCACTCACAAGCAAATTTTTCTGCAGATTCAACTGTGTCTTTAATGAGATCTCTTACTTCTCAAAGTTAAAGGGCAAATAGTGACATTCCTTGAAGATACTGACATTTTGGTATGATTAGAAAAGAATCCAAAGAACAATTAATTAGAACAAGACAAAATATTAGTTTCATGTTACCGGCAACATACAAATTCCAAGGAAAATATTTGATGTGTTATAGGCTGGGTATATTCTGCTTAAGTAATACTGTCTAGAAAATGAACATTATAAACTAATGCTCAAAAGAAAGTACCCACCTATATAATTTACAGTACGATTAACAAAAATTAAAATAAAGTGATTAAACCACTGTAATACATCTCACACACGGTCAACACAAAATTTCACATGATAAAATAAGTGATCGAATTACGCAAACGACGCTAAAAATAAAAAACGACAAATTTTGATGTTGCAGGAAATCAGTTTACTGGACAAGTTAGCAACAGAGGATAAAGAAAAACACAAAAAGTATGCCACGTATGAGCCGGATTGAAAGAGAAAGAGCTGTGGGAATGGCGCAACATGGAGCAAACATCACTTTGATCGCAAGGACCTTCGGCTGCTCCAGAAAAACTGGAACAAAATTGATGCAGCGTTTGATGCAGACAGGCAGTACATCAGACAGGCCTAGGAGTGGTCGACCACGTGTCACAACGCCAGGTGAGGACCGCCACATCAGGACAATTCATCTGACGAATCGTTTCGTTACTGCAACAGCAACGGCATCGGCGGCATTGGGGCATCGTATAAGTCGACACACAGTGTACCGGCGACTGAGAGAACGTGGTATTCGAGCACGTCGCCCCTACCGCAGAGTGCACATGACACTTCAACACCGACGTAGTCGATTGACATGGGCCAGGAGAGTTCGGCGATGGCAGATTCGTGATTAGCAACGTGTGATGTTCACGGACGAGAGTAGGTTTTGTCTTTACAAAAACGATGGTCGTGCTCGTGTTTACAGACGTATAGTTCAGCGTTTAAGACCAAATTGTGTTCAGGAAGTCAGAGCGATCGGAGGCGGTAGTGTGATGGTGTGGGGAGGGATCTGCGATGATAGGAAAACACCACTTGTGACTATTCGTGGCAACCTTAATGCTGAAAGGTACAGAAACGAGATTTTGCGACCAGTTGCTCTACCATTTATCCGGCAACAACCCCGTGGCATTGTCTTTCAACACGATAATGCAAGGCCACATTCAGCAAGATTGACAAATGACTCTCTTCAAAACGCCAACGTCGTTGTTTTACCTTGGCTAACTTGCTCTCCCGACATGAATCCGATTGAACACCTATGGGGATTACCTCGATCTGCAAATCCGAAATCGACCGGCGCAACCTGTCACTGCTCAACAGCTGGAACAATGTCTCGTAGAAGAATGGCAAAGAATAACGCCTAACGTCATCCGACGTCTTACAACATCAATGCGTCGACGTGTTGTCGCCTGCATTGCTGCTAATGGGAGTCACACTCGCTATTAAATAATTAATTGATAAATATTGATTATTTTTTAAAGACAATTTGCCTTCTGAATTTCTGTAAAAGTGTAAACCCGACCCCCCCTTGTCTTTATGTGCCGGTCGTACAGTAAACACGGCTGTCTGGTACTTAAATTTGTGTAAATTTGTTGTAGAAATGAATATTTTATTGGAATTACATAGTTGTTCATTTATTTGTTCATTTATATCTGCTTTTTTTTTCTCCTAACGCTTGGTCAAACCTAATGGGTACTTTCTTTTGAGCATTAGTTTACTATGCTTAAAGATGGGTTCCCTAATTTTCATTTATGAAAATGAAAATGCTTATACCTATATGAATAGAAAGAAAACATCAGCAATTTTGTGATTTCTCAATAGTTATTGTTCCAAAGACTTAAATAAATGACACAGGAGCTTAATAATGAACATATTCAAAAACATCGATTTAATTGTGCAAATGGCTATATTTTGTGGTCTAATGTTGTAAGATGAAAACCCAAACCTAGCACATCGGCTGCTATAATGCCATCCATTAACATCCATTAAAGTCATTCTAACTTACTGTTACCATCTTTTTAGTCTTTCATCGACAAAAATGTACACAAGCTTTGTTGTTATACCTATACTACACGGTTATAGCAGACCTGGAAAGACAAAAAAGAGGAATTGCAGTCAAACATTCGACCTTCTAAACATCTAAATTCCTGTTTCATACAATACTGATTAATTGATTCCATAGCATTTATAACCAGTCCTTTTTGTTTCTCTCTCCATTTCGTTTTACTTAAAAAAATTATACCATCATATATATCAAATAAGAAACACAGTGTTTACATTTTTATATTTTTTCAAGATTAAAGATTAACATAACCACTCAACCAGAATTTAACAATAGTTCGAAAATAAGTAATGTTAATATCATGAATTTTAGAGTTTCATATACCGAACCTTAATACTTGATTTATATGATATTTATATTTAGAAATATTAAAACAGAATCTAAAAAAACATGTTGTTGTTACACAGAGTTGTTTCACTTTAAGCGATCTTCGGACAAATTTTCAGCCTGTGTCTTTACTGAAGTTAGACAAGTTGAACTTATTCTCATGTCTACACTTTGAGACGAGTTCGGAAAGTTTGTTTAAAGACGTGAGCTTAGGGGCATTAAACTTTTCAGTTAAACACAGGTTACATCGTTTGGTTGTATTTGTGTATCTGCTATCAATGGACCAGGAAATTTTGTAATTGTTATTTTTCAGTTTAAGTTGCCAAATGTGCTTTGAGAGTTCATAATTATGTTGAATGTTTAAACGATTGCATGTGGTTGTAATATCTTTGTTTAAAAGTGTTCTTAGTCAGTCCCAAATATGGTTTACATTGATTTGTGTCAGTGTTTGTGACTTCTGCCTTGTATATTATACTATTTGTTTGACACCATTTAGTGGACATAACTCGTTGTTAAGTTAGGCATACAACTATATTTTATTAAGTTTCGCATTTTCAGGGAAGTGTTTTGTTAGAAAGTTCAAGAATTTATGACCAATATTTGTTGAAACATTTTTTACTGAATGGCGGTTTGAACCATATTACGTTTTCTGTTTCGTTTGGTAGGAATTGATTTAGATCTGTTGGTATATGATAAATTTTCGGAAAAACTGATTGATTTTAAAGCATTTTCATTGCCGGGAGCAGATTATTTATAGATTTCTTCATCATATGATATGTCGGATATTCGCCTGCTATCTAAATTTACAATAATTGTACCTTCTACAGTGTTTAGTAGCTATACAACAAGTTATATTGTGATAGGGTTCATCGTTCGGTGATATTAAACAATTTCACCAAGTTTCATCAAAATCGTTAAGAATTGTGCCTTCTCGAGTATTTACAAGCTACAGACTGAACGCATTTCGAAAGACAATGCCTCATAACAATCAAAACATTGTAAATCTTATGATTTTTCAAGTATGTCGAAAATAAATGAATTTAATTCTGAGAAAGGTATGTCGAAATTAAATGAATATAATGGATATTCGCCTGCTATCTAAATTTACAATAATTGTACCTTCTACAGTGTTTAGTAGCTAAACAACAAGTTATATTGTAAGATTATGCAGTAGATTTTTTTCTTATTCATACTCATGCTACAATCATTAGTTTTCATGGGGAGGGGCTTAGGTGAGCTACAACTTCGAAATTTCACTAGTTGTTGCACGGTGGCCATTTTTGGGGAGTGTCTTGGCAAAGCATCAAGGTCCCGCCCAGTTTTACTTGGCTTGAAGTCAAACCTTGTTAACTCAAGGTGACAACTTTTCAAAATAAATGAACTCCAAAACAGTGTTTATTTCAACATCTCATAAACAGTATTTCTTTACATAAAAGTAAATTTACAATTATTGAAATGTACTGGTCCGCAAGTGTTGATAAATTCGTTAAAACGTGTGTCCTTCAGTGGGGGTGAGGAAACCGAAATTTTCGCTTTTTTAGAAACAGGTTCACTACTTTCTTTAGCACTTATTGGCGCCTCCAAAACACTTGAAACCTGTTTCTGCAACTCGTCGGATTTAATTTTGTAAACCCTACACGCCTCGTCAGATCTATGACCTGTGCGTTCCATGATGGATTGTTCATCTTGTCCATTGCGGTACATTTCAGTAGCACAGGTCTTCTTACCGGAGTGGTTAGTGTAATGTCCGACTAAACCAGCTTGTTGACACATTTCATTAATGAAATTACCTAATTTATTAATCCCAACAGGCTGCTTTCCGTATCTTATGCCATTCTGTAATGGCTTTCTATAAAACATTCCGGATTCTATCGCGTCTAAATAGGTTTTAAATACTGTACATAAACATCTTTGACCTAAAATACACAAATATAAGAAATAAAGGATACCAATTGTCAGACAGCATACATATTTCATAATGTGACTAAAAAGGCCATAAAAGTCAGAATGAGTAATTTTGTCAAAAATCTCGCATATTATCCCTTTAAAATTTCTACAGTCTACACTTTGATAAGGATACGTCATAACCTTGTGATTACTTTGATTATTTTATTATACAGGTTTTAGAACTTAATTAGTGCAATAATGCTTTATATCTTTGTTCTTTAACTTCAAATGGGCTAGACCACCAGTAAATGTTTTGTTGTTTCTTCCTATGTATCGTATGTAATAACCATTTTTATCATTACCCAATTCAAACTGGTCAGCTTCTAAATGGCGGTGCTCATCTCTTCCTCGTAGTCCAAACAGTTTACATGCGTAAAAAAAATACTGTGTACTGTAAACTCGTTGAGTTGGTAAAACCAAAGACACCAGAATTCCACAACTTATACTCATCTTCGTTTGATACGGGGTCAGCTGTTTTCGGTTTACAACCGACTCCTTGGCTTACTAATTCCTTCATCTTGGCATCTAACACCTTTCTGGTTAACAGAAAACGTGTATCAGCTTCCTCCAGAATGTTAATGGAAATATTATGGTCCTTCAAGTGTCTCATAAGCCCACAAATGATATAATAAACTGATTTAGGGGAATACTCATCTCCGTTCATTTTACGCAATTCTACAATAAATCGCTGTAACCAATAATCTAATTCTTCTGCTGTCATATCTTGCAATTCAGGTATATCATTATCACCCTTCGATCGACATTTCCGCCATTCATTAAATATATTTAGTGACCATTTAGTATTCTTTCTGGTATTAGCATTTGTTTGTGAATGTATTAAAGTGTCTATTTCAAACTGAGATACTTGCGTTTGAAACCTTTCAACCACAACCGATTTCACTTCCTCTTTAACTTGTTCCTCGGCTGTAGAAATTACGTTAAATTCACCACAATCAGATTCTTTCTCCATCTGCAGTAGAAATAAGGTTCAATTCGCCGTAATCCACATCTTTCTCAATATTATTTTTCACTGTCAATTCCTTTTCTATATCGTCTAAATTTTTTGAAAGAATAATATCTTCATCGTCGTTATCATTAAATAAACACTGCGACATTGCGTCTCTACGTCGCGAATTGAAATATATCAACTGATGTATACAGGTGTTGATGACCTATTTTTATATGTTCGCCGCTCGTTATGCACGTGTAGTTTTTAAGAACAATTCACTTACGTCACCTGTCAATCAATATGTTACAAGTATTTTATAGAACGTTTATGAGTTAAATTATTGAAGACACTTCGGGGGCTACGCCCCCTCGTGACTTCAATAATTTAACTCATAAAACTTGTGCTATAAATTATACTTGTGATAGGGTTCATCGTTCGGTGATATTAAACAATTTCACCAAGTTTCATCAAAATCGTTAAGAATTGTGCCTTCTCGAGTATTTACAAGCTACAGACTGAACGCATTTCGAAAGACAATGCCTCATAACAATCAAAACATTTTAAATCTTATGATTTTTCAAGTATGTCGAAAATAAATGAATATAATTTAATTCTGAGAAAGGTATGTCGAAATTAAATGAATATAATTTATTTCGAGAAAAGTATGTCGAAATTAAATAATCAATCGGTTTAATTTCGACATTGTTAGTTAAAATTAATGATAATATAATTATTTTTTTCTTCGGTTAATATGAACCACAGGGCGCTTCCGTAGTATACAGAATTTAAAGGTATACAATGTATTTTTTTATTAAACGTAGCTGAATTAGCTTATATGTCAAGATAAAATTATTACTGTGTGTTGTTAGGAACATTTTAATGCAACGCTTAAGTTTTACGTAAGGGATAAAGGCCGAAAACTCTGTTGACAGAAAGTACAGTTTTCGGCCTTTATCTGTCTTAAAACATAGTATCTGTGAGTAAATTTTGTTTGTGAGAGAGACTCAATGTATATCACTTTAAGAATGTAATCTTTTTGAACATTAAATGAGCATGCACACAGCTCACTACTGAATGTTGTTTTAAGACAGTTGTTACTTTAAGAATGTACACTTTTAAACATGCATGCATTCATTCATTGAATAGTTGATGCTTCAAGTGTCAAGATGTCAGGTTCTAGTGATGATGATATATTTATTACTCAAACAAAGACTTGTGAAATAGATGATTATAATTTAGAAACGGATACTGTTCTTAGTGATGCTCTGAATTTGGAGGAAAATTATGTAAAAGAAGCCATACAGCTACCAAACTTTGATTTGAAGTACTCTGATATAAGCGATGTTGAAACACCAAATTTGCCAGAAAATGCCAAGACTTCACTGAGGTTTTCCAAGCCCCTGGACGATTCTGATCTAAAGAATTTGGTTAAAAGTGGTCTTAGTATCAAAACTGAAAATAAAACTAGATGGGCAGTTAATTTGTTTAGTATGTGGAAGAAACACAGAAACAATAATAACTCTGAAGAAAAAGGTTTATTTAATCTTTCCAGTCAAGAATTGAATGAGGCACTTTCCTTTTTTATAGCTGAAGTGCGTAAGGAATCCGGTGATAATAATAAACCAAATACTTTGTATGAGATTATTATATCTATACAGCACTACCTTCGTCAGAATGGACGTTTAATAGCCTTTATGGATGATCAAGAATATCAGGGTTTAAGAAGTGTTCTGAACAGTAAAATGAAGGAGTTGTCGATACTTGGACTGGGTATTAATACCAAGAAGTCAGAAGTTATTACAATAGAACAAGAAGAGATTTTATGGAGTAAAGGCTTGTTAGGTGAAAGTAACCCACAGCAGATATTGGATACTCTTCTTTTCTTGTTTGGATTACATTTTGCACTGCGAGCTGCTCAAGAACACGGGAATTTAAGGTTTGGTATGAACACTCCATTGTCTGTTAAGTATGACTTAGAAGGTAAAAAATATTG